GCCCCCGGCCCGCCAGCTCTGACTGGCTCAGGTGTCCTCCTCATTCCTCTGCTCCGGTCAAGCGGCAGCGGCGCGCCAGGCCCCGGACGCGGTATGGGGAGGACGGTCACCTGGGCCAGAGGGGAGGTCCTAGGTGGGAGCGGAGGCGCACAGCACCCGTGTTTAGGACACGCCGTGCAATTCGGCCTTGGAGGAATCCGGGCGGGGCCTCCCTGGTGCACAAACACAGAGACAGGGGGGGAAGTGGGGGGGGGGGCACCCCTGGCAGGTGGAGCAGCAGATGCAAATCGTGCTCAGTACATGGCAGGAGGTGGCGGGGGCAGGGGGGCTTTAGCTGGAGTGTGGGGTCCAAGGAGGGGCCGGGACAGAAACTGTCTAGAGGACTGAGGTTCAAACCCCGGCCCGGCTTGGTGCGTGCTGTGTGGCCTTGGCCGTATCGCTCCCCTCCCTGCACCCCCATGTTCTCACCCGTAGCGTCATCACATACAAGGAGAATTGGCCGCTCCCCCATTCGCCTCGTGTTTAGTGAATATTGATGCTCAGTGATTTGTTGAGCAGCTGGTTGTTCTGCGCTCCGAGGGCACAGGTGTGTGGACGCTGCTGGCCTGGAAGGAGGCCCGGCTTTGGGGGTCTCTGAGGGCCCCACGGAGGACTCTAAAGTGCCCGGGACGGAGAACCAGGGAGGCGGGTGGAGGACATACCAGTGCTCTGTGACTTTCCTTCACTTGTTTCCTGCTAAAGCCCTTCATGCATTCACACATTCATTCATCACACATTCATTCATTCATTCACACACATTCATTCATTCACATACACATTCATTATCCTTTCTCCTCAATTGTCAACCAGTAAAGAACAGGAACCATGCTGTGTATTTCTTTTGTCGCTCCCAAATTTTATCATGGTACAAGATTTTTAAATCAAATAATGTGATTCTATACAGTGAGTATGAAAATTATATTGCTTTAAAGCTACATCTTGTGTCTGTTGGCTAAATGTCCACCTAATTCATTCCCTAAGCATTTGACCCACACAAATTAATTCATTCATTCATCACACATTCATTCATTCATTCATCCCACATTCATTCATTCACTTACACACTCATTCATCCACTCACACAAATTCATTCATTCATTCACCACGCATTCATTCATTCACTCACACAAATTCATTCATTCATTCATCACACACTCATTCATTTATTCATCACACACTCATTCATTCACCACACACTCATTCATTCATTCATCACACATTCATTCATTCACTTACACACTCATTCATCCACTCACACAAATTCATTAATTCATTCATCACTCATCCACTCACACAAATTCATTCATTCATTCATCACACATTCATTCATTCACTCACACAATCATTCATCCACTCACACAAATTCATTCATTCATTCATCACACATTCATTCATTCACTCACACAATCATTCATCCACTCACACAAATTCATTCATTCATTCATCACACATTCATTCATTCACTCACACAATCATTCATCCACTCACACAAATTCATTCATTCATTCATCACACATTCATTCATTCACTCACACAATCATTCATCCACTCACACAAATTCATTCATTCATTCATCACACATTCATTCATTCACTCACACAATCATTCATCCACTCACACAAATTCATTCATTCATTCATCACACATTCATTCATTCACTCACACAAATTAATTCATTCATTCATCACACATTCATTCATTCACTTACACACTCATTCATCCACTCACACAAATTCATTCATTCATTCACCACGCATTCATTCATTCACTCACACAAATTCATTAATTCATTCATCACTCATTCATTCACTCACACACATTCATTCATTCACCACACATTCATTCATTCACTCACACAAATTCATTCATTCATTCATCACACACTCATTCATTCAGCCACATACTGATGGCGCATGGGCCATGTCCCCGTGCTGTGGATCCCGCTCTGGCTGCCTGGACTGTGGCTCGGGCCGGTTTGGAGATGGTAACGGCTCGCTTAAGCGTTCAGTGAGGACCCAGGCGCCCCTGAAGGGCACAGGATCGTTTCCTCGTCCGCATCTCGGTGTCGCTCTCCTGTAAACTGGGGAGGACATTTCCCCCAGGAGCTGTCTGTCTGCAGATCAAAGGCTGAGCTGACGCTGGCGGCCAACCCAGCGTCCGCTTCCTCGGCATTTGTCAGGAGCCAGGCGCTTCGCATTTTTATTCCTTTTAACCCTCAGGAGGTAGAAACTGCCTTCTCCTCATGGGACCGATGAGGAAACTGAGGCTCAAAGAAGTGTGAGCTGTTGCCAGAGGCACAGAGAGAGCCCAGGCCCTTAAGCTGTTAATCTGCCTGGAGGTGATGACCTCACAGCGCCCATCTGCGGGACTAAATCTGCCTGGCAACCGGTGACATCACTAAGACTACCGTCCGGGCTCAACCTATGGGGGACCTGATAGCGTCACCGAACAATAAAGTCATTATGAGGTGATGAGGGCCTACTAAGTGCCAAACGCCATGCGGTGCTAAGCAGCCCCGCCTCTGGGTTCACCCGATGTCCAGTGTCGCCTCTGTCTTGAGTAGAATAATAACGTTAGCCCTGATTTATTGCTGCAGACCATGAGCCAATCTTTTTTACGGCTATTGACACATTAAACCCTCCCACTAGCTCTACTGTTAAAAACTAACAAGCATTTATATTGTGCTCACTCCGTGCCAGGCACAGCTCTAAGCACTTTTTTTTTCCTGGAGGTGATGATGATTATTATTCCCATTTTATGGATGAAGAAACCGAGGCAGAGAGAGGTTCAGCGACTTGCCCACAGCTGCTGGGACATAGACTTCAAAGCCACGCATGCTGGCTCCAGGGTTTATACAGTTAACCAAGGCACGGTGCTGCTCCTCTTACCCCGTGTTACCGTTGAGGAAACTGAGGCACAGAGCGACTTCAGCCAGACTCCCAGCACGTGACACCAGCTCCAGAACAGTACTCTTATTCACGCCTGTACTGCTTTGGTTACTCTGCAAAGTCCCCACCCCCACCCCTCTGAGGTGACCAGCCCTCCCTCCCTGCTCCCTGGGGAGCAGCCCCAGCCAGGGACAAGGGGGCCTGCACCAGCAGACCATAGAGCACAGGCCGGCTTCCCCTCTGGGAACCCTGGCTGCCCTGGCTGAGCCTCACCAGGCTCCCCGAGCCCTCCCGGGACCCCAGGCAGAGGGCACAGTTCTCTGGCTTTGTCCTTCAGCTCCAACCTGACCCCCCCGCCCTCAGCCCCCATCCCACAGAGCTCCGCAGCTGGGGAGGGAGGCCCTCAGGAAAGACACTGGAGCTTGCTGGGCAAGTCGCAGCCCTCAGTGGCCTCAGTCTCCTCATCTGTCAACTGGGCAGACAAGGAGGAACTAACTGAAAAGGCCTGCAAGCCACTGGGTTTTCGACCTCACTGGGCGCAACCCCCTGCCTCCTTTTGTTAAAAGCAGTTGTTTTCATGGGAAGAGTTTTTTCCCCCTTTAATGCTTTGTTCATTCATTCATTCATTCATTCATTCATTCAGTGAGTGTTTTCTTAAAGTAAAACGCACATGAGTGCCGTGCAATGGCTCGATGAATTCTGCAAAGTGGGCACAATATATAACCAGCCCCGGTCTGCCTCTACCCACAATCACCCAGTCCTCCAAGGGCCACCGCCACCCGCCTTCTAACACTATAGGCCACTTTGTCCTGGCTTTGAACTTCCCATAGTTGGACAGATGCCCTTGGGTCCCTCATTTTTCGTTCAACGCTATGTTTCAAGGCTTTTTGTTTGTTTGTTTGTTTAATATATTTTTATTGATTTCAGAGAGGAAGGGAGAGGGAGAGAGAGAGATAGAAACATC